TATGGAGTCTGCCTCCACCACATTACTGCCTAGTTTAGTCCATTTATTAACTACTCTGAATTTGTTTAATGTCTCTGTGGTTCATTTGAATATTCTGCTTCCATCTGTGGCCCTCTTGTACGAACTCCACATGAGTTGAATAACTTTTATCTACCCTCTATCAATTTCCCCTGAGAAATTTATACGTGGTGATCATGTTTATCCTAACTAGGATGTAGGGTGTGTAAGGGCCCCAGGAACTAGGCTGTGACATGCATTCAGTTACAAAATAATGGTATGTACAGTCTATATTTTGAACCAAAACTAATCTCACCTAATTTAAATGGGAAGATTAATCCTTAGTATCGCGTAACTTAAGGAAAAGACATATTAAATACTTAAGTTGTATTTAATATGTCCTCTGAACTCTGGCTCTTCCTGCCATGGGGCCAGATTCACGAAGCAGTTACGCACGCACTTACGAACCTGTACATCTTTCCTCGATGTTTGACGGCTTTGGTTACATTTATTAAACAGTTTACAAGCATGAAAACTTGCCAATCAACTGTTGTTATTGTTATAAACAGCCTCCTGGTGCTTCGGAGCTCATTAACTGTTTAATAATTGTAAACAAAGCCGCCAGAGATTGAGAAAAGATGTACAGGTTCGTAAGTGCTTGCGTAACTGCTTCGTGAATCTGACCCTTGATCCTCGAAGCCCTGGCCCTCCCAGCTCTGCCCCTCCCAGCCCTGGCCCCTCCCAGCCCTGGCCCTCCCAGCCCTGGCCCCTCCCAGCCCTGGCCCTCCCAGCCCTGGCCCCTCCCAGCCCTGGCCCCTCCCAGCCCTGGCCCTCCCAGCCCTGGCCCTGCCAGCCCTGGCCCTCCCAGCCCTGGCCCTCCCAGCCCTTGCCCTGCCAGCCCTGGCCCTCCCAGCCCTGGCCCTCCCAGCCCTGGCCCTCCCAGCCCTGGCCCTCCCAGCACTGGCCCTCCCAGCCCTGGCCCTCCCAGCCCTGGCCCTCCCAGCACTGGCCCTCCCAGCCCTGGCCCTCCCAGCCCTGGCCCTCCCAGCCCTGGCTGTCTCAATTCCAGCCGTCTCTCCTCTGGCCAACATCCATCGCCGTAAATCTCTCAGGAAATACTGTTTTGACGGCTACTTATCGCAGACACGTGGAGGGGGGGGGTGCAGCTATGGGGGGGGTAGGGGGGCAGGTGTATGAGAGAGAGAGAGAGAGAGAGAGAGAGAGAGAGAGAGAGAGAGAGAGAGAGAGAGAGAGAGAGAGAGAGAGAGAGAGAGAAGCAAGCTGTGGTTTTTGCTGAAGACGAAAATGATAGCGAAAATTATGCAAAGAAAAATGAGACACCAGGAGGAAGAAATTTTGAAAAATGGGATGGAGTGAGGGGTTATGGGGAAGGGGGGAGGGGGAGGGAAGGAGGGAGGGAGTTAGTGAGAATTTTCCTGCGTTTGTTTATACTTGATTAGAACGACCCGATTGTTAGTAGTAGGAATCGGGTCGTTCGATTCCTTCTAGTAAGAATGTGTATTCCTTCACAGGAGTCATCACCGCGGCGCGCGATGTACCGCTTCGTACAACACGGGTCGTACTCCACGGGTCGTACACCACGGGTCGTACACCACGGGTCGTACTCCACGGGTAATAATAATAATAATAATAATAATAATAATAATAATAATAAAGGATAAACCATTTGTAGCTGTGTGGGGATTCAACCCGTCCTCATTAATCCCGCTGGATTCAAGCTCGTTAATCCAGCCGCCGAACCACCTGTTTATGAATGAAAAACGGTTTACACACGACTCGCAACTGATGACGTCCGAACATTTCTGGAACAAGCGTTTCGCTCACGTCCCCTGTTCGAACCACAATTCTGTAATTGCTTCACCCACGTACTTCAAATACAAATAATTGCCAACAGAACCTAGACACCTAACTTAACCTAACTTAACCTCACATAGAATTTGTATGTATACTAATATTCATTTATATACGAGAACAAGCCAATGTTTATTACACGGCATGTTAAAATTGATGAAGGCGTCTGGGGAGGACGGCCCCTGCTTTAACCAGCCTAGTGTGAGGACGGGTTGTCAAGGGAAGGACGGCCGCCGCTTTAACCAGCCTAGTGTGAGGACGGGTTGTCTGGGGAGGACGGCCGCTGCTTTAACCAGCCTAGTGTGAGGACGGGTTGTCAAGGGAAGGACGGCCGCCGCTTTAACCAGCCTAGTGTGAGGACGGGTTGTCTGGGGAGGACGGCCGCCGCTTTAACCAGCCTAGTGTGAGGACGGGTTGTCAAGGGAAAGACGGCCGCCGCTTTAACCAGCCTAGTGTGAGGACGGGTTGTCTGGGGAGGACGGCCGCCGCTTTAACCAGCCTAGTGTGAGGACGAGTTGTCAAGGGAAGGACGGCCGCTGCTTTAACCACCCTAGTGTGAGAACGGGTTGAGTAATTGCTTATTATATAAATTTAGTGTGACATTGTCATATGAAAGTCTGTTTTAACTCATTCGATTTAGCTAATATTCTTCTTTTAAGATATGATTTGTTGAATTAATGATGTTTATCGTGTTAAAAGGGTTAGACTTCAGAAGCTTTAAGGTAGTTGGTGGAGGGTTGAGAGGCGGGGCCAAAGAGCCGAAGGTCAACCCCATCTGGCACAGATGCCTTAGTCCATCTAAAAATGGGCTGTTCTTAAGAGTTTATTTTCATTTGTTAATTTACACCTGGATCAATTTACGCCTGAGGTAGTTTACACGTGGCAGTTTACACGTGGCGCAGTTTACACCTGGCGCAGTTTACACCTGGTGCAGTTTACACCTGGTGCAGTTTACACTTGGTGCAGTTTACACGTGGTGCAGTTTACATTTTGGTGCAGTTTACACGTGGTGCAGTTTACATGTGGTGCAGTTTACACCTGGCGCAGTTTAGTTCTGGTAAGGTTTACTCCTGGTGTAGGGTACTCTTGGTGCAGTTTACTACAATTGGTACAATTTACTTCTGGCACAGTTTACTCCTGATGAAGTTTACTTTTCGCTCGGTAACCCCATTAGCAATATTGAAGCTGTTTACACGCATACGGTATCCACTGATGAAGCTGTGTCAATACAGTATATAATATATATATACATCGATGAAGCTGTGTCAATACAGTATATAATATATACATCGATGAAGCTGTATACATATACAACATACACCGATAACAACTTGTTTTCTTTGTTTTTCCTCCAATATATAAAAATCATCTGGTTTTTATATATTGTTTATATAATCAACAACATAAACAAAAGAAAGAAAAAAAAAATCCTGCAATTTTTAGTTTCTCTTGTTGAGCCGTGTGGAGACTCGAACCTTGACTCGCAACACGGCTTGGTGAGAAAATACGAATGATGAAATTGTTCAACATTGTGTCGGTGAGAAATAGCTTGTGGAAGCAGGCAAACTCTTTTATTAATCTGTGCACCGGCGCCATAGGGATCAGCGAAGCGTGATATCTGCTTCTGAAACACTTAAACAAGTCCACTACGGGCTCGCCATAGCCCGTGCTACTTGGAACTTTTCGTTCCGGGTAGCGAAGCTTGAACAACAACAGTCAGCTTCGGGTTTTAGCTTGAAATAGCGTTTTATCTTTCAGTTGACTCGTAAAGTTGATTCTATTAAAAGTTCAAAGGAACTTAAAGGAACTTAAAGGTGTGTGTAAAAGTACTTTTTAAACCTAGAAGTACAAAAGTACTTCTGCTAATACCGTGAACCAACTCATAGCGTCGACCTTGCAGCGGTAAAACAATGCTAAGTGCATAGTGGAGTACGGTATCAGCTATGTGATGTATAATTAAACTGTTGGTGCCAGAGATGACGATGCAATGCCTATAGCAAACACAGGTACTGTATCGTCATAGTAAACCGGTTTCCTCGAAGTTTACGCGTCTTCGGAGTAAACCGGTTTGTCGCATGTCTTTGTAATCTATAAAGCTTATTTTTATATATAAATGAAAGAACGTAATAGTTTAGTGACTTCTAAGTGTAGTCTGGCTCAGTTATTATCATATGTGGGCTTTGGTACTTTTTAATACAATTTCATTGTATGTACCACTACCATTTGAGGGAGCCGGTCGGCCGAGCGGACAGCACGCTGGACTTGTGATCCTGTGGTCCTGGGTTCGATCCCGGGCGCCGGCGAGAAACAATGGGCAGAGTTTCTTTCACCCTATGCTCCTGTTACCTAACAGTAAAATAGGTACCTGGGAGTTAGTCAGCTGTCGCGGGCTGCTTCCTGGGGGTGGAGGCCTGGTCGAGGACCGGGCCGCGGGGACACTAAAGCCCCGAAATCATCTCAAGATAACCTCAAGATGGTGCTTTTTAATACAATTTCATTGTATGTACCACTACCATTTGAGGGAGCCGGTCGGCCGAGCGGACAGCACGCTGGACTTGTGATCCTGTGGTCCTGGGTTCGATCCCGGGCGCCGGCGAGCAACAATGGGCAGAGTTTCTTTCACCCTATGCTCCTGTTACCTAACAGTAAAATAGGTACCTGGGTGTTAGTCAGCTGTCATGGGCTGCTTCCTGGGGGTGGAGGCCTGGTCGAGGACCGGGCCGCGGGGACACTAAAAAGCCCCGAAATCATCTCAAGATAACCTCAAGATAACCACCTAGTATTGTGATGGCCTTGTTAGGTACAGCTAATGAGTGGTTTGTGTATTTTTTAAGGTCACTAATGACCACTTTAAGGCAACTTTTCCCTCATGTGACTTTCCCAGTTTGTATTCACCATTGTAACTCATATCTGCTTTAAAACTTATCTTTTAAGTTTTTGACCACTATGGTAAGTCCCTCTGAACTGAGAGGCAAATTTGTTGACCTAATTATGCGTCGTTTGCAACTTGAGTTATCATTTGCAACTTGTGTTATCATTTGCAACTTTTGTTATCATTTGCAACTTGTGTTATTTGCAACTTTTGTTATCATTTCTATTATGTTCTGCTTCTAGTTCATTTGTGTAGGTTGTTAAGATGATGGAACCACGTAACTGTCCCTCGAGGCAGCCCACTTGTCACAGGTCTTCCAGTCGGACCTTATATCCTGTTCCAGTCGGACCTTATATCCTGTTCCTCGGACCTTATATCCTGTTCCTCGGACCTTATATCCTGTTCCTCGGACCTTATATCCTGTTCCTCGGACCTTATATCCTGTTCCTCGGACCTTATATCCTGTTCCTCGGACCTTATATCCTGTTCCTCGGACCTTATATCCTGTTCCTCGGACCTTATATCCTGTTCCTCGGACCTTATATCCTGTTCCTCGGACCTTATATCCTGTTCCTCGGACCTTATATCCTGTTCCTCGGACCTTATATCCTGTTCCTCGGACCTTATATCCTGTTCCTCGGACCTTATATCCTGTTCCTCGGACCTTATACTGTTCCTTGGACCTTATATCCTGTTCCTCGGATCTTATATCCTGTTCCTCGGACCTTATATCCTGTTCCTCGGACCTTATATCCTGTTCCTCGGACCTTATACTGTTCCTTGGACCTTATATCCTGTTCCTCGGATCTTATATCCTGTTCCTCGGACCTTATATCCTGTTCCTCGGACCTTATATCCTGTTCCTCGGACCTTATATCCTGTTCCTCGGACCTTATACTGTTCCTTGGACCTTATATCCTGTTCCTCGGATCTTATATCCTGTTCCTCGGGCCTTATATCCTGTTCCTCGGGCCTTATACCCAGTTCCTTGGACCTTATATCCTGTTCCTAGGGCCTTATATCCTGTTCCTTGGACCTTATATCCTGTTCCTCGGACCTTATACTCTGTTCCTCGGGCCTTATATCCTGTTCCTCTGACCTTATATCCTGTTCCTCGGACCTTATACTCTGTTCCTCGGGCCTTATATCCTGTTCCTCTGACCTTATATCTTGTTCCTTGGACCTTATACTGTTCCTTGGACCTTATATTCTGTTCCTCGGACCTTATATCCTGTTCCTAGGGCCTTATATCCTGTTCCTTGGACCTTATATCCTGTTCCTCTGACCTTATATCCTGTTCCTCGGACCTTATACTCTGTTCCTTATCACTCGCTACGTCCTTTTGGTAAGCTACTTCCGGAACCTGGCCCTTCAGGTCAGGAGGAACAGCTCCTTCTCTCATTGTTGTTGTTGTTATTTAAGATTCACTATTTGGAACAAAAAGTTCCAAGTAGCACGGGCTATGGTGAGCCCGTAGACTCGTGTTCCTTCTCTCAACAAATATGTCTAGTTTTCTATACTATGTTCACCAACTGAAAATAAATAAGGGAAACTATTAAAAGTAGCGAGTCACCAAAATACACGTTTTCTATGAGTTTTATTCTTTATGGTTAAGCGTCGTGGTGGACAATAGACAGACTAAGTAAGTCTTAGGGTTGAGCCTTGTGGTGGATAATACACTAAGTGTGCTCTACCCATTAGGGTTGAGACGTGGTTTCCCCCCCCCCCCCGCTTAAATTCATCTGTTGTACATTTGAGCAGAGATCTTCTTGAGGTTATCTTGAGATGATTTCGGGGCTTTAGTGTCCCCGCGGCCCGGTCCTCGACCAGGCCTCCACCCCCAGGAAGCAGCCCGTGACAGCTGACTAACACCCAGGTACGTACCTATTTTACTGCTAGGTAACAGGGGCATAGGGTGAAAGAAACTCTGCCCATTGTTTCTCGCCGGCGGCTGGGATCGAACCCGGGACCACAGGATCACAAGTCCAGTGTGCTGTCCGCTCGGCCGACCGACTCCCTGAAAAAGATGGTCAATGAAATTTCACAATATACATAAACAGTTTCATTGTTAACTCGACAAATTAAGAAATTATTTATTTCCCCTGGACATGTTTTTGTCCTAACCCCAAAAGACACATTTCTGTATCGTGTTACACTACATTCACGAATATCTTAAATGTAGATCTTCCGTCTGAAACGTAGTTTGTGATAGTTTGAAGCTGCTTAATTGGTCGTTGAAGTTAGTTTTATCTCCTGAGTATAACTACAGCGTTTTTAGTGTCTTTTTCTTTTTGTAATAAATTTTATTTAAATGTTTTCCCCCCCTTGTGTGTGGGGGGGTAATTTGTCTTCTTGCTGGAATGTGTTTTATATCCAAAATAGAATGGAATTTAAATCTTTTCTAGAGAATGATTTATTTTCCAGGACCATTTTTCAATATTCCTTCTGGAGCATTTGTTGTGTTTGTGTTGGAGCGTGTGTTGCTACCTGGTACTGGAGCGTGTGTTGCTACCTGGTACTGGAGCGTGTGTTGCTACCTGGTACTGGAGCGTGTGTTGCTACCTGGTACTGGAGCGTGTGTTGCTACCTGGTACTGGAGCGTGTGTTGCTACCTGGTACTGGAGCGTGTGTTGCTACCTGGTACTGGAGCGTGTGTTGCTACCTGGTACTGGTGCGAATGCCTTTTGGTACTGGCATGTGTCTGAACAACCTGTCCTCCTAAAAAGAACGTCGCTTTTGGTCGTTTGCCCGTATGGCCGAATTTGGACGTAATTTGAAAATGAAAAAAAAAATGAAAATAATTTTTAGATTTTTTTTCAACAACAGTAAGTTAAGGGTCCTCTGATAGGTTAGGTGGGCAGGAAATTCTCATAAAGTTTCAAAACGTTATGAAAAACGTGAATTGAAAGTCATCTATTCTAACCTTACAGAGTTGGCCGGACGACTCAAACAGAAAACGGAACAGTACGTCACTTTTGTGAGTCAATTTCATTTCAAATTACGTCCAAATTTGGCCATAGTGCGCATACGAGCCAAAAGTGACGTTATTTTTAAGAGGACGGGTTGGTTTCAGTGCTGGAATGCATTCCAGGGGCCAGATTCACGAAAGCACTTACGAACCTGTACATCTTTTCTCAGTCTTTGGCGGCTTTGTTTACAATTATTAAACAGTTAATGAGCTCCGAAGCACCAGGAGGCTGTTTATAACAATAACAACAGTTGATTGGCAAGTTTTCATGCTTGTAAACTGTTTAATAAATGTAACCAAAGCCGTCAAAGATTGAGGAAAGATGTACACGTTCGTAAGTGCTTGCGTAAGTGCTTTCGTGAATCTGGCCCCAGGTCTCTTGAGTGTTGAAACACGTTTTAGTGCTGGAATACGATCCTTTCCTCATGCATTGTACAAGCTCGTATGTTTTATCTCGTGTAACAATGAGCCTTATCTCCTTACTGGAGGCTGTGTTATTCCCTTTCAAGTACGGAGATGAAACACATTTTAGGGAGAGCTTCGCCAAATTCATTTAACATGATTTGTTTCTTTCCCCTGGAGCGAGATTCATTGCGTCCTGGAATGTGTCTTGTTTCTTCAAGGGGAGTTTTATTTCGTTCTTTCCTGAAGCATGTTGACTCGTCTCTCAGGATGTCTGTCTTTCTCTTGCAATGTCTCTCCGTATAAACTCGTGTCGGTTCCCTTCGTAAAATCCGGTGGACGTTTCCGGGAAACCTATTTTTTTCGATTTTATAAAATATTGTAACTGGTTCTGGCAAAGGTACAACTCTGGATTTTCAGTTGAAGGTGAACAAACACGAGAATATTACATTATATACATGGAAAATAATGAATAAAGTTCTACCGAGTGTTGAGGATGAATAAAAATGGTTCTGCTTCATTAATAGTTCTTCTAGTAATATCAAGCCAATGTTAGAGGGAAGGGAGGGATTTATCAGGGGAAAGCGCCAAGCTATTACGACTATATAGCAGTGGGAAGGGAGCAGGATAAGGATTAGGGATGGGACGGGGGGAGAGGAGAAATAGTGCCCAACCACTTGGACGGTCGGGGATTGAACGCCGACCTGCATGAAGCGACACCGTCGCTCTACCGTCCAGTCTAAGTGGTTGGGCACTCCTATTAGCACTCTCAGCCTGCTAATAGGAGTCAGTAATCACCAATGATTGCTGACTCCTATTATCAGGCTGATAGCTTTCCCTTCCCTTAGCTCGTGGCAAACCTTACCCACCAATTCCCTTCAATACGACACGTCAATCGTTTAACAACCAGGTACCCAATCACTCCTGGGTGAACAGAGACGTACAGCCAAGGATTGGCGCTTAGCCAATCTTTCCCAGCCAGGATACGAACCTAGACCAAATTTCTCGCGAAGCGCGAGGCGAATGAGTTACCACTACACCACCAGTAGCAGCAAAAGGAGGTTAGAGAGCTGGAACATTGAGGTCACTTCCAGTAGTATCACACCAATTTTAGATAAGAGTACTGGGATAATTGAAACAATCAGGTCTCTAACAGATAAAAAAGATAATAGAGATACTTTGTTCGTTACTAGAGACGGAAAAAATTCTGAAATGTAACAGATGAAGAGATATGGTAAACTTATCTAATAATTATTATGAAATATGTAAGTTAAGAAATACATCAACTAATTCCATACTTGTCTCCTGGCCCGACAAGTTACGTTTTCCAGGGATAAAGATTTGTGTAAATAGGGAGGTGAGTGTAAATAGGAAGGTGTGTGTAAATAGGAAGGTGTGTGTAAATAGGAAGGTGTGTGTAAATAGGGAGGTGTGTGTAAATAGGAAGGTGTGTGTAAATAGGAAGGTGTGTGTTAATAGGGAGGTGTGTGTAAATAGGAAGGTGTGTGTAAATAGGAAGGTGTGTGTAAATAGGGAGGTGTGTGTAAATAGGAAGGTGTGTGTAAATAGGAAGGTGTGTGTTAATAGGGAGGTGTGTGTAAACAGGAAGGTGTGTGTAAATAGGGAGGTGTGTGTAAATAGGAAGGTGTGTGTAAATAGGGAGGTGTGTGTAAATAGGAAGGTGTGTGTAAATAGGGAGGTGTGTGTAAATAGGGAGGTGTGTGTAAATAGGATGAAGGTGAGAGTAAATAGGATGGTGTGTGTAAACAGGAAGAAGGTGTGTGTAAATTGGAAGGTGAATGTAAATAGGATGAAGGTGAATGTAAATAGGATGAAGGTGAGGGTAAATAGACCAGTAAAAATATATCCACCCAAGTTTGAAGGCTAAATAAATGTATTCATATTAAATAAGTTTACATTTAGGAAAGAAATAAACATTGACTCGGAAAAAAATAATTGATGATACATGTGACAAGTCAACAAGTAATCTTACTGAAGCAAACTCCCCTGGAATGTCAGGTCGCTTCATGCAGGTCGGCGTTCAATCCCCGACCGTCCACAAGTGATTGGGCACCATTCCTTCCCCCCGTCCCATCCCAAATCCTTATCCTGACCCCTTCCAAGTGCTATATAGACGTAATGGCTTGGTGTCGAGTGAGAGTGGCTGGATTTGTATAGAAGCTACAGATTTCTTTATTCATGAGTTCTATTGAGAGTAAGAGATTGAACGAAAATGGTTTTACTAAGAAGTTGGAATACAGGATTAGAGATCAATTGAGTCTGGGGGTATAAGTCCAAGAGGTTCTTTTGCTGAGTCTAAAGGACTCGTCGGAATGAGACCATTCTCAAGAACAATCACTCGTATTTGCGTAACGAATCAATGAGAATTTTGTGGAGAAGAAATAATTATTTCCAGGTACCTCATTCGAGTTGCTGAAGGCATTAAAGGAGAGAGAGAGAGAGAGAGAGAGAGAGAGAGAGAGAGAGAGAGAGAGAGAATGGTGGCCATGAGGAGAAACTGTGATAAAATGAAGCAATAAAAGACTCGAGAATGATGACTCAAGTCAGACAGCGAGTGACCTGGCCTGTCTTCGCCAGGATCTACTAAATCCTTCAAGAGATCCTACTGGTCTGAGGAAACCATTTCCAGGATAGAAAAACTTTTCCTGTCAACTCTGGATATGGTCCCGTGGGACACCGCTTCTGGGAGTCCCGTAGGACGTAGGAGGTTATCTTGAGGTTATCTTGAGATGATTTCGGGGCTTTTTAGTGTCCCCCGCGGCCCGGTCCTCGACCAGGCCTCCACCCCCAGGAAGCAGCCCGCGTGACAGCTGACTAACACCCAGGTACCTATTTTACTGCTAGGTAACAGGGGCATAGGGTGAAAGAAACTCTGCCCATTGTTTCTCGCCGGCGCCTGGGATCGAACCCAGGACCACAGGATCACAAGTCCAGCGTGCTGTCCACTCGGCCGACCGGCTCCCAAAGCTCGAGTTCGTGTTTTTATTTTATGCATTAGTGATTTTTTTGTGTATATATTGTTTATTGGAAATATTTGTATATCAAATTTTTGTTGTGTCATATACCTTGACGTGTTTGTTAATTATTTGAACAAATGGTATTGATGCGAGGGTAATGGGCAAGACGGAGGTAATTGGGAGTAACTGGATAATTGGCTCTCTCCCCTGGTTATTGAGGGAGGGAAGAAAATTGGGAGAATGAGGCGAAATGGGTACAAAAACAGTTTGGAGTTTATTGCACCACTTGACGTACTCACTTAGACGTACTCACGTAGACGTGCTTGTGGGGTCGAACCTCAGTTCTACGGACTTTTTTTTTGAGCTTTCGAGCCGAACAGTTTAATGCAGTGACTGTTCGTTTCCTTTTTGTTTTGCCATTTTTGCTTATAACGCCGTGTTTTGTCTACTTTAACAATTCCTCTTAAGGTCTTATATCGTTATCCTGCCCCTCAGTTCCTCCTCTTAGCCATTTCCGGCAGTCTTTCCTTGTAGCTCATACCCCTCAGCTCAAGAATGAGCCCTGGTGCAGATCTTTGGACGTCTCTATTTTGTTCAATACCGGTGTGCATCTTCTTGAGATGATTTCGGGGCTTTAGTGTCCCCGCGGCCCGGTCCTCGACCAGGCCTCCACCCCCAGGAAGCAGCCCGTGACAGCTGACTAACACCCAGGTACCTATTTTACTGCTAGGTAACAGGGGCATAGGGTGAAAGAAACTCTGCCCACTGTTTCTCGCCGGCACCCGGGATCGAACCCGGGACCACAGGATCACAAGTCCAGCGTGCTGTCCGCTCGGTCGACCGGCTCCCTGCATGAAGCAGGTGTGTGTGGGTCTCCTAGCCTCCTGTGCCTAGCCTCCTATCCTTGCATGTGTTCGGGTTAAAGTACGGCAGCCAATATTCCGAACACCTCTCAAGTGTGTGTAGTTCATTTTGCAATATGTCACAGCTTCCCCCTTTCCGTTCCGATTCTTCTCTTTAGTTTCCCATGAGCAGCAAACATTGATATGGAGCCAGTTACCTTCGGCAGGACGTTGAGGTATATTAGTAATAGTAGGCTCCCCCCCACTGCCAACCCCTATTGTACGCTAATCTTTACCTCTCATTCTGCTCTGATATCTTCCCCTTTTTTTTGTGACTCTTTGTTTCCTTCCGGAGGGGTACTCCCTCACCCAGGCCAGCATACTACTGAGTACATCAGCCTCTTGCTCTAGTTTGTGTAGGACTCTTTTTGTGAGGGACATTGTCGTATGCTTTCTGACAAGAAAGTTGGTGTCTGCTCAATCCTCTCTTTCTTGTCTGATTCCCATGGTCTTATTGAAAAGCTTTAGTGTGTTAGATTGAATTTAATTCCTGTGAACCAGTATTGATTTTTGTTAATTAAATTGAATTAGCGCATTTCCTTGGCGTTGGGGGCTATGTCACTAGTGCAGCTTCTGCTTTGTGTTATATATATATATATATATATATATATATATATATATATATATATATATATATATATATATATATATATATATATATATATATATATATATATATAATTTGGAGATTTTTGCTTCATTTGGAAACAATATATATAAATGGTATATAATATATGGTATTGAAGTATATTTAACAGCTTTATATAATGAGTAATTGAATGGGGGGAAGGGGAAGAGATATATTGAGTTGCCGGTTTGTCTCAGAAGTCCGTCAATTGTCCTTTAAGAAGAGTCGGGAGGAAAAGAAATCCAATTATAAGTTTTGGCATTTATTCCAAGGACCTCTCGACCCCCCTTACCCCCTTACCCCCCCCCCCCCTCGCCTCGGTGTGACCTCTTCTTCTGACCTTACAACCTTCTTCACTACGACCGTCCGCAAGTGGTTGGGCACTTATCCTTCTCTCCGTCCTATCCTAAATCGTTGTCCCTTGTTCTGTTCCAAGTGCTATATAGTAATGGTTTAGTGCTTTCTCCTGATAATTATCTTACCTTATCGCCCTTACCACTCTCTGGCACTATCTTACTACCCATCATTAACACATAATTAAAGTTTTTGAAAGAGTGATTAGGAGACCAATCTCCAGTTCTGAGGTGAACAATGAACTTCACAACCCAAGTCAACATGGCTTTAAAATGGGAAGATTTCAATCCATGTTGAGTCTTTCTCAGTTACTCAATCACAATAAGAAAATCATGGAAATATTACAAGAAAAGAGGTTCCGGGTTCGATCCCCGGTGGAGGCGGAGACAAATGGGCAAAATGTTTGTTTCACCCTGATGCACCTGTTACCTAGCAGTAAATAGGTACCTGGGAGTTAGTCAGCTGCTACGGGCTGCTTCCTAGGGGATGGAGGCCTGGTCGAGGACCGGGCCGCGGGGACACTAACCCCCGAAATCATCTCAAGATAACCTGGTGTGGGCCGCTACAAGCAACAGTCTGTTGGACCAAGTCGTCACACTTCACCCCTAGCCTCCAGGCGGGGCTTGGGGAGTACAATAACTCACAGAACCCTCTCCAGGTATACTCCAGGTATACTCCAGGTATACCCCAGGTGTACCCAAGGTATTCCCTCACCCTTCCATGGCTGTTTACCTCTGAACTTCAGAGGAGAATCTAATTACGTCACCTTGTCAGCTTTACTACACCTTCGAGACGTTGTTCAGTCTCACACTTGTTGTGACATGAAGAAGTTGTGACATTAAGAAGTTGTGACATCAAGAAGTTGTGGCATTAAGAAGTTGTGACATTAAGAAGTTGTGGCATTAAGAAGTTGTGACATTAAGAAGTTGTGACATTAAGAAGTTGTGGCATTAAGAAGTTGTGACATTAAGAAGTTGTGACATCAAGAAGTTGTGACATTAAGAAGTTGTGACATTAAGAAGTTGTGACATCAAGAAGTTGTGACATTAAGAAGTTGTGACATTAAGAAGTTGTGACATTAAGAAGTTGTGGCATTAAGAAGTTGTGACATTAAGAAGTTGTGACAATAAGAAGTTGTGACATTAAGAAGTTGTGACATCAAGAAGTTGTGACATTAAGAAGTTGTGACATCAAGAAGTTGTGACATTAAGAAGTTGTGACATTAAGAAGTTGTGACATTAAGAAGTTGTGACATTAAGAAGTTGTGACATTAAGAAGTTGTGACATCAAGAAGTTGTGACATTAAGAAGTTGACATTAAGAAGTTGTGACATCAAGAAGTTGTGACATCAAGAAGTTGTGACATTAAGAAGTTGTGACATCAAGAAGTTGTGACATCAAGAAGTTGTGACATTAAGAACTTGTGACATTAAGAAGGTTAAAACATTCCGGGTAATAAGGTCACGAGTATTACAGTTTAAAATACGTTTGGATTCCATCTTCATCTTTGACGTTATTTTTAATGATTAATTTTAATTTTATTTTAATTTTAAATTTATTTTAATTTAAATTTTATTTTAATTTTATTTTAATTTTAATTTTATTTTAATTTTAATTTGTTTGAAAATTCCATCTTCAACTTTGACGTTGGCATTTAAACGTACTTAGATACAAGATTTAATTAAGTGCACGGGACCACAAGGATTAATTGGAGATATATAATTCTTAGTGTATTCAAGGTATTGAAAACTGAGTAATTTACATAAATTTGCTTAATTATCTACCGATGCGTCTTGCAGTATTTAATTCCTAATTATTAAAGCGACTAACTGATGGGGAAGTTAATGAATAAAACTTAATTTTATTAAAGTATTCATTGTTTTCTCTTTCTTTCTATGCCTCACAGTTCTCTCTCATCTCTCTCTGTCTCTCTGTCTCTCTGTCTCTCTGT